CCCCGGCGTCAGCGCTTGCTAGCAACAGCAGACATTACCGCTATCAACTGAAGGAAGCCCGTCTTGTGTGCATAAAAAGAACCTCCTGCAAGCTTCGCGCTTGCATACCCATTCGTCACTTGTCTGAGAGCACTTTTCCGCACTCTCCCTCGCTCTATTCTCCCTTCCCTAGACCGGCTCCAACAAATTATCACCGCCGTGTAACCAACCGTCTCTTATAGACCCCTAACCTCCCTATCTCCATGGCTGAGTTGCCTGCAGTGACGAGATTAACTGACCGCATATTTTGCTTTGGATTCCGTTTTCATATAAATGCGAATACCCAATGAGAAACCTTGTATATGGTCGCCAACTTCTCTTCCGAATTCTCTGGTGGGAATTTTTATAACTTTAATATTTTTTTGCTCTGCAGTCTAACGCGTGGATGTCTTCTCGGAAAAGAAAGACTTCGGCTTAATCTTTTCCCACCCGGTGTCCACCGTCTGTGACTCGGTTTGCCGCCAACACACTGACATCGCTCGGTTGTCTGCTCTTCAGCGATTGGTTACCACCTAATATGATTAAGACTCACGCGCTCCTATCACGCTGGCGAACACATAACATCGATAGATGGCTCAGTCGCTTGCACGCTCCCCTCCGGCGCTAAGACTTTCCCCTCTAACTTCATCGCCCTGGATGCCGTTTGGGAAATGTCCTCGTTGCTGCGGGAACTCGTCGTACCTCAGCAAATGTAACAGTCGAGGATTAAACTGTCATCGTCGTCGTAATGTAGCTGACGCACAAAAAAACATTCCTCAACTTCCTATGGAGACAGTTTAGGTGTCAATTTAGGACAGATGTAGCGTTGCCGTGAATATGACGAGCCATAAGCCGGGATAGTCTAGCTTTGAAAAGGTTGCGTCAGGTTTAAGAGAAGGAATTATAAAATGTCAAAACCATTTGCATATTACGCTCTGTACGTCGTTGTGGCTCTAGGGCGAATTGCGAGGATCAAACAAGGCGATCTGCTATTGCAGGAAGTTTGTTTAAATCAGGATCTGTCAGGTCATAAAGGGCATTCACCATGATCCACATCAGGTCACAACAGACTCTGGAGAAATCCTAGCAATGACAGATACTGTTTAGGGAAGAGATTATCAGGAAGTCCTACATCATGTATGATCTTTCGAAGAGATTTTAGCAGTTTCTTATAATTCATCAGATTTGTAGCAAAATTTGCAATGACATTGAGATCATGTGAGAAACGCATATCCCGCAAATAGCGTTTGTTCATGAATGCAGCTTTTGGTGACTGAGAAGAACAAGCGAATACCAAAGTGTACATGACAACATGCCTTAAAGTATGGCTCGAGATAATGCAGTCCTTAATCTCATATGAGAACGCCTTCCTAATAGAAAAATACTTTTTTTCCTGACATCAGTTTCTGCCCTTGAAAGATGTTCTCATAGTAACCTCGCTTAAGCTCACTCCATCAAAAATCTACGTTTAATCCTATACCAGATACATATTCCAGGCAAAATTCAGAACCTGGTAAAGACTTCATAGACAAGTGTGAAGTTGAGAAAAGTATATCCGAACCTCAGGCAAGCACAACAATCGCCTATTGGTTAGCCGTTCTCGTGACATCATCTTACCAACATCACGTTCACCAAAGAGCCGTTTTCAAGGTAAACGAGGTAACCACCCCACGGTCCTTTCGCGCAGCTATCCAACTCTGATTGCAGCCTCAGAACAACAACTTCCGAGGGTCAATCACTGTAATCTGGCTCCACTACGCAGTGGCTACTCAATAGTCCTTCGCCAGTACCAACACCAGCGCGACCCATCCATACGCGACTACTGTCCCGACTGCGGCTTTTCTCCGCATGAGTGTCAGCATCTGTTCGCCTGCAGTTCCTGGTCAGGCACCCAACTCACCCCCGTGGACGTTAGGCTCAAGCCAGCTGAGGTCACGGCTTTTCTTCGTCTCCAAACTGCATCCAGTTTGGACTACGGCAGGGACTCCTGATCCAGCAAGGGCTACTAATCAACCAAACCAACATCACGCAACCTCTAACCCAACTGACCCAATTTCCAGTAGTGGAGAATATGAGAGTCCCAGAAATCAGTTCAGAAGAAGAGGATGCAATCACTGGAACAAGAGTTTTATTTTCCTGACGTTTCGGAATCCCGACGGCATCCGAATCATCAGGAAAATAAAACTCTTATTTCAGTGATCGCATCCTCCTTTTCTGACCTTATTTCGAAAACCTCGCCAGCGTCGATATAAATTGAACCCCTGAATAGCATCGAGAAGAATTCAGTACAGCCAAAGCTCTAGCGAACTGAGCTGTCAGGGCCCAACCGGGAGCCGTGAGTTTAATTACACCTAGATTAGTTTACCCATCCAGTCTGCATTAACGTATGGAATCCACCAATTCTGATATAGCAAGCTGACTGCCCAAAATCCATCAGATGACCACCAGACACACTTTATTATAGGGGTAGGGGGGGGGGTTCGGCAGATTTCAATAATTTAATCGAGATAATTGACTAGATCGTTGGCTGTACTAAAGCCTTCCCTTGTGTTGGCATGGGTAAGTTTCCCACCGATGCTGCTGAGTTTTTCCACGGTTGGGTCAACTGAATTATTAATCTCTGCCAAACCCCCCTTTATCACTCAAATCTTTCCCATCACTGATTCTTCCCCATGTTTTTGAGCGTTAATATAGTATTCGTCATTGTTTCGAGCGCGAATCGGTTGCCATAGTAAACCTTTTCACTGACTGTCTTTTATCGGGAGTTCCTCGCGCCAGAATAGCTCCCATTTCAGCCGATCTGTAAGCGCATCTATATGTTGGCACAGTTGGCTGGCGAACAACCCGCACCCTACTTCTCCTTATAAATGGTGACTAACCACGAAACAAGCACGAGTGTCGCGCACCGATTGGCTGGTTGGCGCTCTGGCCGAATCTGCCTTAGCCAATATAGGATTCATGCTCGTCTTTTTTTCACAAGTCGCGCACTTTAGAACTATACTGTTTGTTTGGACATGAATTTCAAGACTTTTTAAATGCTAATTTGACCCAATCAATGCTAAATCACTGATTACAAGAACGTTCACTAGGGGGCACTTTTTATCCCACATTTGCCTTCCATATGTAGTCGATTACTTTTTGTATGTTCTGCTGGTATGCAATGGTCTTTAGCCTCCTTTACTTGAAGTTTGGGAGGAATGCATGCCTTCTGCAGAAAAGTCACGACAGTGTGAATACAAGCCACATAATTGAGAATTCTGAAATTTCATTCATCCCGCCTCTTATGAGAGAAATGTGCAGGTTATACGG